CCATTTTCGAAATCACGTAGCCTGCATAATTTTCTAGTTCATCATATTCCACACTTTTGGATGTACTCATGATACAAAAAAGAAGGTAGTTTCATGACATTCGTTGTTGTTGTTAACCATTTGATTTTTAATAAAATTATGACATTTCATCAAATTCATGCTACCTGATCACTAGAAGAAATATATTTTTTTTTTAAGCAGAAGATTTTATCAGTCGGTGAGTAGAGTTTGTTTTCCACTTATGCACACACATGTGTATGAGCAGTGAGTGCAAGTTGAATGTGTTTCTGACGTGTGTGTGAGCAGAGAATGTGTGTGCAAATACGAACCCTGACTGATATGATGTTACATTTGCAAAACTTGAATTTTCTGTACAAGAGAATAAAAATATTTTTGATTTGTCGCAAATTATTTAAAGTTTTGAAGGCTAACTACGTCATTTTATTCATGATCTCAAAAAATATTTCATAATTTTCCATGGCTTGAAAAAAAATATTGCACACGATTTAAAAGCAGATTTGGAAGAAAAATTTGCCGATTTGAAATTATTTAAATATGCATACGTGTGCACACTTCATAAACCCGTTTTTATGTAACATAATTGGGAAATACGAAATACTACTTTTTAAGAAAAGCGAAGAAGAGTTGGAGTGTTTGGAATTCGTTTGAAGATAAGGCACTGTGGGTCTTTGTACTCTACAATGAAATTCATAAGTGAAAATACCGTTAACAATTAGTTGCATTCGCGTACCTGATAATTATTGAAAGTTATAAAAACAATCAGCTTTTTGTGTTCGCGTACACACAGAAAACTTGCAAAGTTGAGCAATTGAGAGAGTAAAATGACATTTCATTTTGAGGGAAAGCTGCTAGTTTTTGCTGAAAAAATGCTTGCCAACTAAAAAACAGCTGATCAAAAACAGCTGGTTGGAACTTACGCAAATCCCTAAACTGAATTTGATGGTTTGGAAGCTAAAATATTAAAATGGGACTAATTATACTTGTAAGAAGGAAGTAATTATTCGTTTAGTCAGTGAAATGTGTCAGGTTAAGGCTTCGGGATTTGTTTTCTTATGTTTTCAATTTTATACTGTTGAATGTAAACAAAATTTCTATCAGCTGTTCGTCTAACTTGCAAGTTTCTGCAAATTTTCTGTTCGCGTATTTTTATTATTTTGGAAATTTTTCTCTTGCGAGATAACAGATGACATTTCGCCGGAATTTCGCTGTTGGGCATTTTTTACTGGAGATTTTAAACGAACGTACCTATTGACTAACCAACATTTAACAGAACTGTTACGAACGGCTTTAACTGACGTAAACCCATATTTTGAAAATTTGGCCAAATAAATCTTTTGAATCTTTAATATCTATCTTACGTACATTAGAATAATAATAAAATTAATGTTTTTCATTTCTAATAGTAATTTTATTTAAAAATAAAATGTTTGTTTTTTTGTTTTTCTTGTGGCTACACATTTAGAATTTACATGTGGCTCTTTTCGGCCTGGGCCTTGCCTACCCCTGTTCTATACTAATATATATTTTGAAAGGCGTTTTTTTCTGTTCGCAAAGCACGAGATCGGCTGTACCGATTTTTTTGAAATTGTGGTTATAGGTTCTGGATGGGCTTCTCATTGCGTTAGGCAAAAAAAACGTTTAAATACTTCTTAAAAATGCAACTGCAGGACTTTAAAAATACTATAGAATCTAACATACATGCCCACATAACAGCGCTGCTCACCTGCAAATCACAAATAAGAGCGCCCTCTGCTGTTAATTTTTACAGAATACAGAGCAACACAAGGGTTATGTATACATAGACATACGTACTAATGTAAACGTTAATGTTGATTTACTCGAAACATCTCTTAGTATACCCGGAAAACCCGATACTGCTAACGCCTTTGTCCCTGTGTTCCGACCCCGTTGAGGCTGTACGCTTCTTAGGGCTTCCGTTAGTTGGGCTTGACGACAACAACTGGCAACAACGTTTATTCGTATTCGTAGCGAGCGTTCAGATTCGCAGATTTTCTACGATTTATTCAATAATTGACCCCGATTTCCTCGAATTCAGGTCACCTGTCATTTACATATTTACAAATTCTTTTTTAACATCGAAATGAAAATATAAATATATAAATTATAAGAAACTATTTGTCTGGATTTAGAAATATCGACCACCGTACCAAACATAAAATAAACGCTATTTTTTGTTCTTTCCTTCCATGCATTTTTTTTTGGTTCGTTTTTTGCTTTTATTTATTTTACAACTAATATTTTTCACAATTTTCGTTTTTAAATTACATATTTTAAATTTTTTTTGCTTTCTTATATAGTCATAAAAAGTAGTTTTATTAACAAAATAGAATGAGTTAAGCATTCAGATATTTAAGTTGAAATAATTTAGTGTACAACTCGCAAGTCTAAACCATATCGGGCATCATACAATGCAATAAATAGTCAAATTAGTAAAATATAGAAAATTAAGCCCTGACAATCATAAACCTTAAGATGCCTATTCGATACGGCAATAACACGAGTAGAAGAATGAACAGTCGGTTCCGTTCGCTTTCGTGCTCAAGAATATTAAGGGCCAGTTTTTCAGTGCACGGCTGCGGCTTAGACTTAGTTTAAACGTGGTTTAAACTAAAATTAGCCAATCGAATGTCAGCCAACTATTCAATATAAACGCAGTTTACGAGTTTAAACTGTTACTAAAAAACTGGCCCTACGAGTGCTGAAATTACAGTTAATCGTTCGCCGCTCGCACTTCAGTCTACGGCTATTTCGAGGTATTAAGACTGTATTTTGTCCTATTCTTTTGTTAAAGAGAATATTTGTTGATTAAAAACAAAAAAAAAAGTCTGATATAGTAAGTGGTTAAAATTTAAATAGCAAATCAGACATCAGTCCTTTGGGGAGGAACGTCATAATCAAAAAAAAAAGTTAAGCATGATAAAAATATTTAGACATTTTTATTCATTTTTTAAATGTTTTTATCTTGAAGTTAAGTATGTAAAAAATGATATTTGCCGCTCATAAAAAATAATTGGTTTATCCTGCTACTTCAATTTGTTTAGCAACTCTATATATAATATAAAACACTCAATAGTTGACGAAAGTACAGATTTTTAGGTTAGTTTTATCCTCTGAACTAAATTTGATGTGGATATTTATTAGATTATCGGCCAAAGTCGCTTTAACGGTTACAGCGCCAAACAAGAATTTATTACATTTTAGTTATATTCATTATTTTCAAACAGGAAGACCAGACGAGAAACCCGTTTCTCCGCCATTTTTTTTATTTTATCAGTTGTGACTGTCTTCCAGAAAACGAGCGATAAGCATTAAGGACATGAACGTATATACATGTTTAAATTAAAAATTTGGATGTGGCTTGATGTGTAAAAGATTCAGACAATACAGACGATCTCCTATCTATTATGTAGCTATACAAAAAAATATCGATACTAATTCGAAAATTTACTTTTGGTTAAGTCATCGGGACCCCAGAAATTCAAACGAACATTTCAAACGATCACTAAATACATAACACAAAACGCATTTAATATCACATCAAAGACTGATTCGAACAATTTCACACAAATGGTAAAGTTATCCTTCACTATTCTACCACTAATTACACGGGATCACAAATTTTAATTTGGTGTTTGTTCTCCAGACGCCACCATTAAATTTGTATGTAGAATCGCCCGCTGATTCCAAAAATTGAGTTAATTTTTTATTCTATGGATACGTTTTTGAGATATTTTCAATTTACCGTTATTCAGCTTATAACAAAAGATGGCTCCAATTAGTCACTTATATCTCATCAACGAATTTAACAAACTGAAAATGGAACACGGCAAATGAAAGCTAACAAAATTTTCCATAAACTGTCTATATATCACTTTCCGATAGGACTTATAGTTTCTGACGAATTAATTAATCATTCCAGTTTTTTTTTTTTGATGAAAAAAATAAAAAAAATCTAATTTTAACAGAAGAAAAATTAAAATACTAACAGGTTCTGTGTAAAATTCTTGCAGTTGTGCTAAAGCCTGTTCTTTTCAAACAAATCAAGAAATGAGCAGGAAATAGTGTTACTCATACGCCATGTACACCTAAGTAGCCACGCCCAATTATGGTTACATGTGTATATCTTGGTAACCGCTGTACCGATTTCTTCCAAACTTGGCACGCCTTGCTACAGCATACCAAATGGCCGAAAATTTTTAAAATCGGACGATAACCACGCCCACATCCCATATAACGGTAATTTGGAGAAAGACGAAATCTTCGATAAATCAGTAACTATTAAAGTTAATTTATTTTAAATTGATGCTTGTAACAATTCTTTACCAAGAAATACGATTATGATAAAATTTTGGAAAATGGGCGTGGCATCGCCCACTTATGATCACCTTTAGGTATCTCGGTAGCCGTTCTACCAATTTGTACCAAACTTGGTATGGTTATTGTGCTTGCCACCTAAAAGCAAAACGTTGAAAATTATTGAAATCGGACTAAAATTACGGCCGCTTTTCATATAACGGTAAATTTCAGAAGTGCTTGAAACTTCAATGTTTCGAAATTTAAAGACACTAATTTACTTGATAAACCCTGGCTTACCATGTAGCGGTAGCTTTCGGAAAAGTGAAATATATATTTAATACTTGCTCCGGGTATTTAATGTTCGGCTCCACCCGAACTTAGACTTCCTCACTTGTTTTTCATATTTTCATTAAAAAAAAAAAATCTGGAATGATTAATTAATTTGTCAGAAATTATCAGACCTATCGAAGGTGATGTATATAGGTCTCTGTAGAATTTTGTTAGATTTCATTTTCCGTATTTCATATTAAGAATATTAAATTGGTTCGTAAGATATACGTGATTCAGTGTAACCACTTTTTGTTTTAAGATGAATAACGGTAAATTGAAAATATCTTGAAAACTTATCCATAGAATAAAAAATTAAGTAGATTTTCGGAATCAGAGAGCAATAGGAATTGGATAGTGGCATCCATTGAACATTTTTTCTGTAAACCAGTGTTATTATTACATGTATTAAGACATTTATTTATTAACATATTTTGCTTTAGCATCACATGCGACAACTGTAATTTCAGCCTAATTGTAAAGCATCTCCCAAAAGAAGAATTATAAAAAAGTCCAGAATTTCACAGCAATAACTTTAGATAAAATGCTTTGAAATGAGCTAGACACTTAATAATACAGTGGCAGGCTACTATACTTTTATATCCGTGTACATATTGTTTTTTGTATGAATTTCGAGCAACTTTGCATCTGGCGGAGATATTCAGTAGAGTTTTTGGAAGTTCAATTTTTTTCCACGTGCTATGCGTTACTGCTATTCTACCTGCGTTGCCTTTTCCTATGTACTGGCAATGTTTTGCTTGCAAAACTCTTTGTAAGCTTTCTCAGTCTCCTCGTCCATTTCTGGATCCAAATCGACATCGAGATCGGCTCCTTCGCCATCTTCATCTGTAGAACCACTTCCCGGCACAGCCGCTGCCCCATCAGACAAAAAGTCAGTTTCTTCTGCAGTTAGTTCATGTCCATCCGGCCCATAAAAGATAGGCTCATCGCTCATGCGCAAAGGTTCGGGAGTTTTCGCCGCAGCAGCAGCCACAGCTTCAACCTCTGCTGTTGGAGAATTAACTTTACGACCCCAGTTATTCTTTTGCAACGAGATAACATTTGCCGCCAGCGGATATTTTCCCGGCGACTTAACATTCACAGCATCTAGACGCTGTATAATTTCACGCATTTCATTGGGGCAGTCCGCAGTCAGATCATAACCAGCCAATTTCAGTGTTAAGCATATACAACGGATATTGTCAGAGGACTCCTTCGTCATCAGCTGCTTAAGTGAGTAAACAATATTTTCTGCAATTAGGTGGATACGGGTGTCATCACCGCGCAACTGCATATACAATTCGGCCAGGAAAAGCGCAGTTTCTCGCACCTTTGCCTGATGATTAGTTTGCATATACTGCATAACTTCCTGTTGGTGGTAGTCCAGCTTGCACTTGAGAAGTGTGTGGAAAAGAGAGTCTTTCTTTAAGTTGAGCATGTGCAAAAGGTTATAGAGCTTAGCACCCATGTAACGGAAGTTAGGATTCTGAATGGATTCATTGAATATGTCTTCCATGGCATTTGACAGCACATATTGGTTATTCTCCATTCCCTCGAATATAGTTAGGAATCGCGTGGCAATTGTATCAAATTGTCCAGGATTTTGATTAAGACATTGAATAACAGTCTGCAAATAGTCGAGTGCAATCGTTTCTACATCTGAGCCAGAATTACTACTACTAGCCGTTGAGCTGGATGCACTGGAATTATTGTGCCGTTGATAGCGGCCTTGCCCACCGTGATGCTGATTGTGGTGATGTTGATTATGATGTTTGTTATGTTTGGGATGGTGTTGGTGTTGCTGTGGTTGGTTGTAAAAATTATTGGCAGTATTTTTGCTCCCACTGTTGCTACATCCGGCTCCTATCTTTAAACGCTCCTGCACAGAGGCAGTCAGCGTGGTAATTTGTTGGCCATATTGTTGATGATTATGGCTATGATGGTGATTTTGTTGGTAACCATTTGAGTAGCGTTGTAGACGTGTCGGCTGCTGCTGATATTGTTGATAATTTTGTTGATTGTACTGCTGCTGATGACGTTCTAACCTCTCCTGCGCGCCGACCGCAGAGTTGCTACCGCTACCACCAAAGCGAGGCACGAACTCTTTAGCGTATGGTGATAATTTGGATGGCGATACGGTGCGACCATAAGCGTCGCTGGAATTTACAGTTAACGAATGTGACGTAGCGCCGTGTGTTGGTGTATTGCTCGCCGACTTTGGCTTGCGCAATGGCGTATAGTCTTCATCTTCAGTAAATGGGGCGCGACCCGGTGTTATATCCATATTTTATTAACCTTTTAAAATATTAAGTTGTCGTATGCTGTTATCTTATTCTAATGTACTTTGGTTTAAGATCGTTTAAACTTTTTTTGCGATTCGGTTCGTTGTGAAATATCTGAAAGAACAAATATATAGTGTTAATTAAACGATGAAACAAAATGCACATTTTGCTCTAGATTAAGTCCTCTGTTCCTACAGAGTTGTGGTTCTCTCTGAGGCCATACATATATACTGGTCAGCAGGCCAAACCTGGGGGTCTACTCTGTATTCCGACTCGAAACTCAATGCGATTCGAAAGGCCACACGGACTGATTTGCTTTTCAATTCCTATTTCATGTTATATAATGCTCGGTTCAACGGTACTAGATATACCAGGGAAACCGCGTCAAGGCTCTTTACCTAAGTTCCCCCGCAAAACCAACCTCTTTGAGTCAAAACCTTTTATTACAACCATAGAGCTGCTTTGGATCTACCTTTTTTTTTTGCAATTATTGACATATACTGTCCAAGGATGGATATAGGCTAAAACAATTTGGATATATCAAGTGCTTGGCAGACTTCCCAAATAAACTGAATTTTTCATACCGAATATCTCTGGAAATGTGCACGGCAGAGTACTGGCACATGGTATAGAGATATCAATTTAAAATCAACAACATCAAAGGCGTTCCATGGTCACCTACAGCCACCTTTCCGTTATTATAAGACGCATATGTAGTTTTCAGGGACATAACAGTTATAAGTTTTATAGCAAAAACGTTGCTCCATAACAGTTATTAGATGAGAAATATTTTTTATTTCGTCGATAAGAGTTATAACCCAACGTTTATTTTTTACGTTGCCTTATAACTTTTATGCAGGAGAAATATTTTTTCCGTTGCCGATAAGAGTTATTTTCCAACGTTTATTTTTTACGTTGCTGGATAAGAGTTATTTTACAACGTTTATTTTTTACGCTGTCTGATAAACGTTGTAAGAACAGGATATTGATGAAGATGGAGATGGAGAATAAGGTAAAGATGATGAAATAAAAATGAGAGTGAAATAACTATTATCAGATAACTTAAAAATAAACGTCGGGCAATAACTGTTATCGAGCAACGTAAAAAATAAACGTTGGGAAATAACTCTTATCAGCAACGGAAAAAATATTTCTCTTCTACTGTTATGAAACAACGTTATCGTTAAATTTGAGAATTCAGGCAACGTTTTCAATTTGTAAATCGTGATAACAGTTATTTTTGGTCCCTGATAGTTTTAAATACATTTTTTCACCAAGAATTATATTTCGTTCAGGTATACAGCATAGCTTCTACAAGTAGCAAACTATTTTGGGGTGCTAAAATGTGCTTAGTTGTTTTTAGTTTCTGCGGCACAAACGATTATATTATCCTCTTTATTTATTTTTCTCTGTAAGGACAATATGCAGATGTACATATGTACATACGTACATATATAAATATGCATGTTATGTATGTACTATTTTATGTACACAAGTTTAGAAAAGATTGTACTAAATAATCTATGCTTATGTTTATAAATAAATTTAATTTTTTATGCGTTCTCTGGTTGCCCCACGCTCACTGCGAGTCCGCGCGGCACGCGGCACGAAGGCAAAAGCACCCGTGGCAGGAGAGAAAAAATTATTAACTAGCGACTCCGTGCCAGTTTCCGTGTTTTTTTTAACAATGTATTATAAAACGATTAAAAAATCTGATCGAGAAAGAATAAATATTTCCCTTTTTTCCATAATTTTTTTTTAATTACAAATTTTATACAATATGATTATTTGAAAAATTTAAACAATCAGGCTAAAGCGTGTCTAATTAACTATTATCGTGGAAAAAATCAGCAAGATACATGCTATGAATCAGTGGATAATAAATAATTACTGAATTCATCAAAAAAAGTTAAAAACAATAACTCCTGTATAACTTCCAATTTTGCAAAATTGCTCAAATTTTATATTTTTTTATGGTTGTAAACCGAATAAAGTGATTTGTGCGAAAAAATCTTCACCGTCCAATTTTGGGTGGCCCACTTGAAAGATGTGCTACTTTGGACTGAGTAGGCAATTCAGGAGTAAAGTCCTCTCTCGACGTACGAAAACCGCGCTCTATAAGTCACTCATCATGCCCGTGCTAGTATATGGCGCAGAAGCATGGACAATGACAACATCCGATGAGGCGGCTCTTGGAGTGTTTGAGAGAAAGATTTTGCGGAAGATTTACGGGCCTTTACGCGTTGGCGACGGCGAGTACCGCAGACGATGGAGCGATGAGCTGTATGAGCTTTACAACGATATGGACATAGTGCAGCGAATTAAAACACAGCGGCTCCGCTGGCTTGGTCATGTCGTTCGAATGGACACCGACGCTCCTGCTCTGAAAGTATTCAACTCGGAACCCGCTGGTGGTAGCAGAGGAAAAGGGAGGCCCCCACTGCGATGGAAAGATCAGGTGGAGAAGGACTTGGCTTCACTTGGCGTTTCCAATTGGCGTCAGTTGGCACAGAGGAGAAACGACTGGCGTGCTTTGCTGAACTCGGCCAAAATCGCTTAGGCGGTTACAGCGCCAAAAAGAAGAAGAAGAAGACTTGAAAGATTTTAACTCATTGTGAATGAAAAAAATCTAATTTTAAATTAACATGCTCATACATGGCGTGTGAGTAACGTTAGCCGTGTTTTCTTGAGCAATGATTAATAATAATAATAATAATAATAATAATAATAATAATAATAATAATAATA